GCACGCATCTGGGTGGGTGGCCGTTCACCGTCCGCGGCGAGATGTGAAACATCTCGACGAAGAGCCGCCAGAAAGGCATCGGTGGTGTAAGCTGAAACAGCCTCAAGGTGAACGGCCTTGGAGCTAAAATAAGTCACTCTCCCAGGAAGAAGGTTCCCCATTTTCGGTTGCGGAGTGGCAGCCCTCCACTGAGTGCATGTCACGCACTGATGCAACCATCGCTTGACCACTGCTCGACCTTGTGGAATCCAACACTACGACGAAGCTCAGGGTCGTCTTCAACGGATCGCAGCGTACAAGGTCAGGTGAGTCACTCAATACTCATCTGCTAGTGGGGCCTAACCTGCTCCCACCCCTCGCGAACGTACTTCTGCGGTGGCGGTGGCATCGGTACGCGCTAGTGACCGACATTGAAAAAATGTATCGGCAGATTCTTGTGCACCCCGACGATCATCGGCATCAATGCATACTTTGGCGCCACAGCGTCGATGAACCTATACGCGAGTTCAAGTTGAAAACAGTTACTTACGGTCTCGCTTGCGCACCATTTCTCGCCATTCGCATGCTGCGTCAACTCGCCGATGACGACGGACCGCGTTTCCCTCGCGGCGCGAATGCTTTACGACACGACTGCTACGTCGACGATGTCGTAACCGGAGCGCATTATAAAGACGACGCTATCGCGCTCCAAGTCGAGCTCCACAACCTCTGCATGGCGGGCGGGTTCTCTCTCCGAAAGTAGGCCGCCAACTGCCAGGAGCTGCTTCGCGACATTTCGTCTTTCGGTCTGGGCTTTCTTCTTGGGAGAAATCCAATTAAATTTTGCCACAATTGTAATTATCACGTGGCATTGGTTGTACAAAATTGATTGGCGCTTTCGATTCTTTTCTAGCGACGTTCAACGTAACTGTCATGCGCGGCAGAAAATCCGTACGCGGGATTGGTGACAGCGCGTGACGTATTCGTCGGAGCGCGGCGCTCGCGTGCGCGAATTGAATTGTTCTAGAACTTTCGATGGTCCGTTGCCGGTGCCTGTTTGCGTGAACCGAATTGTTTTGAAAAAACTAAAGAACAATAAATCCTTGACTTTGACGAGGCTTAATGTCAGGCTCGAGATGAAATCATGAGCTCGCCTTGTGCGTGCGTTCAATAACAATTACTGTCGGTCGATCGAAAGAATTCTTACCTTTTTTTTCGAATTACCGATCTCAAACAGCAGTGTAGTGTCCGCTTGGAATATTTCTAATCCATGAAGACAGTAGGGTGTGAGAACAGTCTTTTTAGAGAGATTTTTACTGTCTAGGCTACAACTTCTAGGCAGTTAGGCCCCAAGCGGGTAGGATGTTATATTTTTTTGTTCGGGGCGGCTACGCTCCAATAAGCGCTAATCTATACACTCCAATGTCTACAGTACAGATTTTTTAATTTCAACAACTACAATTATTACAAAAGTCATGCGCCCCTTTGGAAGGAAGGGAGGGGGGAGAGTTGTTTCGTGTGAAAAGTCGAAACCCATGTGGAACAGTACAATTATAGATCTCATTTTGTCTCTGAGTACGGTCAACGCGATACTGCAAATGCTTTGAAGCAGTTTTAATTGGTCAGTTTGTAAAATTTGTATGGCGCTAAAAAAGCGATTATATGAGCTTTTTTAACACTTTGTAAGCGCTGTGTGCTACTTGAGATGGAGAGTGTTGTGTATTATGAACGAACTTAAAACGAAACGATCATCGCCGAACGTTATCGACGAAAAATGGAGCGTTTGAATGATAATTTAATGCAAAAACGACCATCAGTTGCATCGTCAAAAGGTGATTCTTCTCCATGTTAATGCTTGGCCTCCCTGTTGCTATAGTCGTGAAACAAAACTGATAGAATGGGTGGTTTCCTCGTATCCAGCGTATTCTTGCTCCCCAGTGTATCCGGACTTGATACCGAGCGATTACCATCTGTTTCGATTGATGCAACGCGCTCTGAATGATATACATTGCCGTAAGTCGAAGTCGAATTGGGTTGCTGAATAAATTGGCTCAAGAGACAGACCATTCTTTCGTCGCGAAATTCAAGCGTCTGCCAGAAAAATGGGAAAAAAATTATAGCTTTCGAAGACAAATATTTTGATTGAGGTATTCAAACATTTTGTTATTGAAATAAATGCTCAAAAGACATAAAAAACAATGGCTTTCAACGCAATACAAGAAGTATTTATACAATATTCTGAACATTTTATCCACGTTTGTATATTCGACGTTTCACTGTGCCAGAATATTCAAACATTGGGAATATGAATCGAACGTTCTATGAATATTTAGCTTTAGTTGAGAAGAAATGAAATTCGATTTCAACTCGACGTCAAAAAATTTTGATTTACACTCTATTATAATAATATCTATTATAAAGTGCTTTTCATTTGGTGACACAAATGTTGTTCTATCTTTATTACTCTCACTAAATACAAAAAAGATAGAACGACGATTGGCTTGTGTCGACTTGTGTCACTAAATGAAAAGCACCCATTGTTGTCCTTTTTGTCTCAAACTTATACTTGTTTTTAATAAAAATTTGAAAAAATGAAATAAAGAATGTTTTGATTTTTTTCATCGTTCATTATTGTCATTTAATTATTTCGATTTTGATGTGCACACTCATACACGATTACCATTGCTGCTGTTGTTACTGCTTCTTCTATTGCTGCGAGACAAAACTCCAACTCCGCATAAATAAATGTAAATAACAACAAATGATTACAAGCGGATTTTTCTTGACGTTCATATATATTGTCGTTATTTATTAAGTTCAAGAGAGGATAACTTACATTTGCATTGAGCTATGATACATACTATGTACATCGTAATTCAGTAAGTCTCATTTCACGCAATTATCGTTTGATTTCGCTACTGCGACCGGGAATAAAGATGGAGACATTGCTGTCTCCAATGTAGAACTTACAAATCTTAAAGCTATATTATTAGTCTATTATTTTTAGGCTGCAGGACGAAAGTTGTTTTCTTACGAACAGAGTTACGAACGGAGTACTCTCCTTCATAATCAACATTTTATAATTAAAATAAATATGAATAAATTACGATCTCTCGAATGGAATTAATATAGCAGCAGCAGAAAGAATATAAGAGCATTAAACATTAATTAACCCTGCACAGCATGCCGATGTAAACTAGCAAATTTCTTTTTACTTAATTATTAATGATATTTTCTCTCATTACTTATTAGATATTATTAATTTTTAAATCATATCATTCATTAATAAATAATAATAACAAGGATATGTTTATATAATATAGTATAAAATTTAGTCGTTTCACATTCTCCGTTTCGACTTAAATAAAATCGTGATGAAATAAAATATCATTTACAAAGATCATAATTCAAATTATTCTCAAATGTTCGCAGAATGTTGCGAGAGAAGATAATTATATTTAATTAATTTAAACATTATATTTAAAAAATTCGCTAGATTATTTGAATCTTCATAGTTTAATATAATTTTCCAAATTGTTAAAATTATTTTTCTAGCATTAATCAATGTCTGCTATATGAATAACATACTCATTATTCATATAGTTATACTTGGTAATGTAGTATAGAATTGATAAATGTGACCAGATTCAAGATTGTAAAAAAAAATCGTGATCTCACTTGCTTGACTAGAACAGCAGCAACGCGAGCAACCTTTAATATCCATGCAGCCTCTCCACCTCAAATATTGAATTTCGTCATGCAGATATATAGCTACATGTAAAATGTCTCAATCTCTATCAACTCATTACTATGTTTACGTACGCTAATGATATTACGCCTATAATCCGACCAAACGCGTTACTAAAAAATTCGCTCATTTCGGAGCGACAAATTTCATAAAAATTACGTCGAAGTGACTCCTTTTATCTTTATTCATGTAACAAAGTAATCATTATTTTTTTACGCAGAAAAAACTCTCGCTCTCACTCTCTCTTTTCTTCACAATCTACTATGTTACAAAGTTCGGAAGTGAAATGTACAGACTCGTTTTACATTCTTATCTCTAAGGACAGCAGAAAATAGTTCGTCACTGATAGTGCATCGTGGACCGAATTGTCAATTAACGATATTTACGACTCTTGGCGATCATTCACGATTAATGATGGGATTGGAAGGTGGGAAGGATGGAGTATAAAATATTTACGATTCATAGAAAATCGACGAATACCTCTTAATCTATTCTCTCTAAGCTCACTTTGGAAGGTGATCGTGCCATGATGTTTCGAAGTCATTACAATGATTCAATGATACTTTAGGTCGAATGTTGTCTAAAATGCGTTTTCGATGGAAATGATGCTTCTCTGATTTCTCTCAATCAAACGCAAGATCTTTGATAGAGATCAATTATTTAATGGAATTCATAATTTGGCAATTCTTGATTCTAGAAGTTTTAAATATAAATTAAACTACATTCAGTTTTCAGAAGTTAAATATAATGATAATGCGATTATTTACTTAATTTAACTTTTTTTAAATTAGAATAAATGTATATTAAAAAAAAAAACAAAATTAAAGAATAGATTAATGGGAACACGGCGCAGAAAAATAGCGTGCAATTAATTTAACAAATATGAAATCAATAAATATAAATTAAATGTTTTAGCATTACATGAAATTCGACTGTTTATGATAAAATTCGTATTTTATCATAAATATTTTTTAATAAATATGGTACTTGCAATGAATATGAATATTTGCAAAAGAATATTATAATCGAATTTTCAAACTATCAGAAATCTCGCTTTTTATAATCGCAATATCCGAAATATTCTTAAAAAGATGATGAATTGTATCTACGTTTATGTCTTCAGAGTGCATTTATTCCGGTACGAGAGCCTTCCAATCGTGACGATTCGTGCCCATCATACACACTACTTTAGTGTCACATGTAGTGTTACTACAGCTTACATATCCTTATCACTAATTCTTTGATTAATATTTATTCGCACATTAGTAGATCCTTTTCGTTTAGCGCATTGAGATACAATGCGAATGTAACACAAAGTTTATGTAGTTTTATGCTGAAAAAGATATTGGGCTATTCTATTTAACTTGACACAGATTGGCTCTAGTCGAGAACAAGAGCTGGGATCAAATATGAGCACAGCTTGTATCTAATTCGAGCTAATCCGCCCTAGTCAATCAGCTTCCATTTTCATTTATCTCCGACTGTACCACAGTATTTATATCTGAAATAAGAGGAAGCTCGCAGAGAAAAAGAGACAAAACAAGCTTCTGTCAGACTATAAATCCATCTTCAATGCGCAATATTTCGAGTTTCACAATTACTTACAATTAAAACGTCAGGACTGTAAGATTCTGAAACTTGAAACGCGGTGTTGAGGATTGCAGAGTAATGTACAAATTGTTCTCTTATCGTTCATTATAAGGAGATGGAGAGCGATTGGCCTAATGTGACATCTCTTACATCATGGTGGATTCAGAATTCTGATTCCACCATGTCTTACATGTTTAACAAAATAATCGATCTTTGACAAAATGTGTCTATTAGCATAATGTTGGTTGCAATAATTATTTGTTTTTTACTATGTAAATAGGAATAGTATAAGACATTCAAGTTCGTCATTTTGATTCACTATAATTGGCATAATTGGAAAGAATATTTAATAATGATATCATGTTTAGTGAATTTACGAGACTCTTCCCAGAAGATGCATGCTATAAAATTTACATACACAAAACACATGTTAGAAGAATTATGTTATACATGTACGTTACAGAGTCGGCATATAAAAAAAAATAAAACCTGATTACTGTAACATATTTTTTGAAAAATAAATAATTACAGATTAAGACTAATATATTAAGGAGCTCTTTAACTCTTCAATTGCCAACGATTTTTGCTAAATTCAGTAAATAAAATAAAATATTTTAACGATTTATAATTGAGAAATAATCCGTTTTTATCGTTTACTATGAAAACTATGAAAAAATTCTATTAAAAAAATTCTATTAAAAACTTCTACATTATAGAAGCTTTTACGTGTCTCCGTGTTCAGATGTGTCTTATTAGAATATCAACGTTTCATAAACATTGCTGTTCGCTTTATCAGGACGAGGTGCAACCTGATATTCAATTTCTACATTAAAAAATATAACATATTAAAAACAATTCGTTAGAAAGGGATTAAAACAAAGTTAGAATTAAAGAAAAGTTATTCCCGATTTATACTTAGAATGAAGGCTGCGTTTCATCAGTTGAGAAGAGCTCGTGTTCAGACAAAAAATTTTACGCGTTTTATAAAATTAATCTGTCATTGCTGTTGATCCTAGAATGGCGAGAGCTTCATGATGTCGCTGTTGAGATCAGCAGATGGTGCATTATTGTCCAAGTCGAGAGGACTGCTGTCCGAGCCGAGCGATGAGGAGGGTCCTATCGCTGACGACGTTGTCACCGCCGCGACGAATTCATCGAGGAAATCGAACGAGGCCACCGCCTCGCGCTCCTTATCCCCGTAGCGTACGAAGAAGTCATCGCCACGGCCGATGATTGACGGTCGGGACGAGCCCCAGGTGGACGGCAGCCGGAGGACGCGTTGCGCCTGGGCCGCCGACGCTGAAGAAACCAAGGGCACACAGCAGCGGGTCAACAGATGCTGCTCTCAGACTTCACTCGATCGACTCGATTTTGCGCTCTTTCTCTTTCTCTCTCTCTTCTCTCTATACCGGTTCTAGCAGACACAGAGTAGCTCGGCTTAGCACTCTCTTTCATCGTATTCACGTCTCCTTCTCTCACCCTCTCTCCCTATTCCTCTTTCGTTCTTTCTTTCTCTTTCC